GGGTTGGTGTTTGCCCCCCCCAAGGGGGGGGGGGGGGGGCCCCCCCCTTTTTTTAAAAATTCCGGGGGGGATTTTTTTTTTCCCCCCCCGGGGGGGAGGGGTTCCTTTGCCTTTGGGGGGGGCAGGAGGGGGCCCCCCCCCCCCCCCCCTTTTTTTTGGGGGGGGGGCCGCCACACCCCGCCCCGTTGCGTTTACAAATGGTGATCCCGGGGGACAATTCTGGGGTGGGGGGCAGCCTCTTTTCGCCGAGGGCCATCCAGGGGGGCATGCGTTTTCCTTTCCGGGGGGGGGAGGGCCCCCGCCCGTTCAGCGGCCCTTCCCAGTTCCCCCCCCCCCCCCCCCCCCCCCCCCGAGTCTCGCCGTCCTGCAATGTGTGTAGGGGGCAAGACGGTCGGTGCTGGCGTTGTGGGCAAGATCCTCGAGCAGTGAGTGCTTTTGCTGCTGACACCCCCGAGTGAATTCCGGGTGCGCCTCGTCGGTGGGCGAGGGGGGAGGGTTGCGCCACTCAGGGCTACGTGCGTCCTCTGCTCGACGCTGAGGTTGGGCATTGTATTTCGCAAGACCGTCTCGCCGTTCTCGTCTCTCTCGCTCGCGGCTGCAAGGGGGGGGGGGGGGGCAGACCGGCCTCGATAGTCGGCACCGATATCGATAGCTGCATGTGATTATAATGGTGCCGGCAAGCTCCAAGCTCCGCCGAAGCGCATATTTTCCTTTTTAGACAGCTTGTATGTTACTGTGTATGACTCGATTCGTTTCGGCTAGTTCCATTTTATCCATATCGGTAATCGCTTTACCTTTAGGTTTAGCTTTACCGCAAACTGAGCATCTCTGAAACTCTTTTTCCAAATAAACTATAAAAGTTACCACCGCCCTTTCTATTTAGCTCTCGTATGATAAAGCCTACGTCTACGTGTGTAACGTGAAGGCTAGTTCCAATTCACTCTGACACGCTAATCTTCGTAAATCTTGAAAACGCGTCCAACGGAGCTCTCCGTGTTGCTCCCAGCGCCCTCCCACGCGCTTCCTGCGGCCATGGCCGATGATACTAGTATGGGGGGTCATCTGGCTACCGCGAGAGCGACCCAACTCGCCGACATCGTCCGATGATTGTGCCTCAAAGTCAGCCTACGGAGGCTATCGCGGGGTCGAGCCGGCGGTGGCCGTGAAATGTGGTTCCACCACCCCTCGTAGGCTTTGCCTCTGACCGCCACCGTTCCCAGGCTGCCTAATGGGATGGAAAGGAAGGCTGGGCGAGCGTATAGAAGCGTGCTCGACCTCGTCGTGGCAACCTGCACGGCAGCGCTGGTAGGCGCGATGAGCGTCGTGCCACCTGACCCAAGACGGGTCGCAGGCGTCGCACCGAGCGCGTCGAGACCGTGTCCTGATGTGATCTGCACGGGTGAGTCACGTCGGCGTCAAAGGAGCGACGTGCGACCTGTCAGAGCTTGATCTCCGATCTCAGCGGCGTCGAGTCGTCTCCGGCGCCTGGGTAGTCGACGGGCCCCCGGGGGCGACGGGGGTGCTCTCCGGCCGCGGCGGCCGAAAACGGGGGTCGGTATTACGGTGTATTAATGAAGTGATTCACTTGATCCAAGGGTGCCATTGTGCTCTACTATAAAAGTTGTGTAAGATGCCCAAGTCTCAGACACTGAATCCTTAGCAGAGCTGAGTTCTGACGGTGTGAACACGAGCAACCGGAGTGACGACCGTCCGGGACCGGGCCGCACGCCGGGAGTGCCCCGACTAGCAGTGACGGGCGCGGACGAGCGAATGAGAGGTCGCTATCTGTGGGAGATGTGTTATGAAAGACTAGGACTGCCTTCCTCTCACTGAAAGGAACCTCTCATTCGCTCGTCCGCACCCGTCACCGCTCACGGAGTGCTCCGCGTGCCGCACCGGCCGCCGCCGGCCGCCGGCCGCTCACGGTAACGGAACAGTGTTACTACTCCGCAACATTGAGCTGGATCATACTGAATAGTGCGTCTGAAAGCCCTCTCTTGCCACACAGTAGCAGCTCACGACTAGCAGCTGGTGTGGCTGTATTTGTAGCCATTTTTAGGCTTCAACTGGATACTGGTCCGAAAATAGTAGCAACACCTCATGAAAATCAGTCAAAAAAGCCCAAAAAATCGGCGCCTGCGGCGGGCTTTCTGGGGCAGCCCCAGACCCCCTTGACTGGGGGGACCCCCCGCGAGAGCACCCCCGTCGCCCCCGGGGGCCCGTCGACTACACAGGCTCCGGCGCGCGACAAAGGTACATCCCCAGGACGCGCAGAGGCAGCTGCGACCCCGCCGAGTGGACGGCGATTGGCGTCCCACCCCGCCACCAGCTGGTGTACGGCCTTTCTACCTGCGACGGGCTCAAGCTCGCTTATGCAATCTCCAGACCTTGTATGCTTTTATCCCCAAACGGTTACTATCAGCTTCTGTGTAACCCGACGCTTATGGCATCCCACGAGAAGTGCACAATGAACAGGCCCGCCCCATGTGAACATTTAGGACCGGGAATCATCAAGGCCGAGCTTACCTAGCCCTGTTTCCCATCTATCCTAGCATTTGCCTTTCTTCTCATGCGCG